CTTTGCGTATTATTTCTATTTCATACGACTACCTGATCCCGCACATGGTCCTTCGACAGATTTAAAAAAGAACAGTGCTCTGAATAAAAACGTGAATTGTGATTAAAGTGAAATTCAAATTTTTCTTGTCATTAAAATGGTGAAAGAATCGATCGAAATCACATTAGAAAAGCGTGCATTTTATGCCGAATCGATAAAAAGAGCCATTACAGCGTTTGATGAAGATGCAAAAAAATCGACGCTGTCGGCTGGTGAAATATTGGAAAGAATGGATGCGTTGAAGATGAATTATGACAAATTCGAAGCAAAGCATATGCACATTCGTTTGGAAAAAGCAAATAACGATGTGTTACAGAAAGAATATGAAGCGATTGAATTGTCGGTGATGCGTATGAAAGGCAGAATGCGCACATTAATTGACGAATCGAAGGCAAGCGAGCCAGCTTCAAGTGTCATAGAAAATCAAGCGTCCGAAAAAAGTCTCGAGTCAATGCCGACTCCATCACCAGTTAAAATTGAATTTCCTGACAAATTCACAGGCGATCAGAGTGAGTGGTATGATTTTAAGCGTGAATTCGAAGAAAAGGTGCACAAATGCGATGGTGTGACCGATGATGAAAAGTTAAAAGTGCTATTGAATGCGTGCGGTGTTCGAATGGCATCGATTTTGGCAATGCAAACGAGTTATTCCAAAGCATGGAACAAGTTGAATCAGATGTTCGACAGCTCGTACAATCAAGCGTTGTATGCCATTCGATGGGCTCAATTAATTCCAAATATGCAAGCAGCATCAGGTGCCAAGATTTGCGATCTCGTTAAAAATGTCAATAAAATCATGCAGATGTTGGAACAAAATGCGAATTCCACAGAACTTGACATAGCAATTTCGCTCATCGCAATCACCAAGCTCGATTCTGAAACGTTCATGAATTGGGAGCGGCACAGAATGCTGTTAGCCGAATCATGGGCTCAAGTGGATGAAGCGGGTAACATTCCACGCAAAGCATGCGACTTCATGCCAAATTGGGAGTCATTGAAAGATTTCTTAGCAAGCGAGGCAGAGATTTTCAACAGCAAAGTGACCCAATTCAAAGCAAATGCGCCGACTGCTGAAGTAAATGCGTCCCAAGTTCCTACATTTTCACAAGCGTTAAAACAAGCTGCTGTTGTCGAACCAAGCGAAAATAAAAAAGAAGAAGCATATGTGACCGCTGTTCAAGCGTTGGCGGAAGCAAAGAAACGACAACCAGAATTTTTACAATGCAATTTATGCGACGGAATCCACCCAAGATATAAATGTGAAGTTTTCATTGCAATGTCATATCATGAGCGATGGAGTCATGTGAAACGATTTGCATTGTGTGCAAGATGTCTGCGTTCAGATCATGCCGGTCCGTGCGTGCAGAAAACATGTAATGAGGCATGCCCAGCGTGTTTGCCAAATCAATATTATCACAATAGTTTTCTTTGTCATTCAAAGTGGCAAACAGCGGCCGCAGACGAAGTTGCAAGCGTGCAAAAAACAAATTGGACTGGAAACGAACCATGGACCGATAAATGAGGCGTTTCATTGCTTAAATCAATTTACACAAAAGAAATGTAATGCGTTGATGCGAAGCGCTACATAATTTTTTTTTTTTTTTTTTCATTGTTTCATTGTTTGCTAAAGCGTTGTTTTATGCGTTGAAACGAAATTTATGCGTTATCAGAAAAAACAGAATGAAAGCGATACAATCGATGAACAGTCACAAATAAAATGCTATAGAAAATGAATCATTGTCATTGTTGAAAAGACAGTTTGAAATCATTAAAATGAAATTTGGCAAGCAAGCCATGAAAAGCATAAATTTGTGTTGCGTTTTTGTTTTGTTTTCGTTTCATTTTTTTTTCCCTTTTACAGTTAGGCAAACACGAAACAAAGGCGAATGTGTTTTGATTTAAGAAAAAGAGGTAAGTACATTGAAATGCGTGAGAAGCAGCAAGCATGCTGTGGTGACTAAGTGTGTGTCGCTATTTCTTCGTTTCTCTCCTTTCTCTGCCTGTTCGTCGCCAAGAGTGATGCATATAGAAATGTGTTTATGAGAACGAAGAAAGATAAATAAACGAAAAGTCGGTTGAGATTCGGCAAGCAAGCCAAAATGATGTGAAATATGTAGTGTGTTTTTTTTTGCTGTTCTCTTTCGTCGCCATCTTTATACACTTGTCTCGCTCCTTTGTGCAACAGGCAAGCGCATGCAAATGAACCGATGGAAGTGTGTATGATGAGTGAAAGAGATGAATAGATGTGAAGTAGAGTGAGAAGGCACTACGTAACCCGGCGTATTTGGTAAGTTTCGCTGTGTGGTATCGTTCTTTTTGCTTTTGACACTCAATCAACACACAAGTGGCGAGCAACAATTCAGACTCAATTTCGCAATCGTAGGCTACTTTGATCACATAATAAGCAGAAATTCAACGTGAATCAGCGAATTTAGTTGAGATTTTTTATTCCAACCGAAATATTTATTCAGTGTAATTAAAACAAAGCATACCATTAAAAACAACAGCGTTCAAGCGTGTATTTTCTCGAACAGTTGATGCAAAAAGTGAATTCAAGCAGATTTCACACTCTGTTCAAAGTCGGTAAGCGTTTCAAGCACAGTCACTTGGATGTAAACCCAATTTGCATTATTATGCGAGGTAATGCAAAATAATCCGAGTACTAGAAATAGACGATTGAGAAGTGACGCTACAAGAGCAATGGTTAATTTAGATCAATTAAAGAAAAAGCATGCGTTTCACGAAAAGGCGGTGAAAACTATTCGTGACCAAATCAACGATAAAGCGATGTTTGATGGGTGGTCAAAAGGCGATTTGAATGAACGAATTTCGAAACTCCACGATTTAGACTGTCAGTTAAATGACATTCATTTGTCAATGGTATGCGAGAATGCCGAGGATGATGACATGCTCTTATTTGGCGAAGATAGTAGCACGTTGATTATGGGGCTCAAAGCGAAATTAAAAGACCGTATCGATGCGATTAATAAGCAAGATGCACCAGCTCCAGTGGCAAGCGAGCCAAGAAGTGTTCAAGTTGAAGTGCAAACGACAGACGCGTGTGGAAATATTCCAAATACGTGGGGAACCTTTGATGGTGACTATGATTCGTGGAATTCGTTCAGAGATCGATGGTTGCCACTTCATAACAACAAGAAAATTGCGGCGACGATTAAATTTACCAATTTAAAAACTGCTTGCATTGGTAAAGCCCAGAGTACGCTTGGAGAATGGGATTTAACCGATGACGATTATTATAAGGCATGGAATCGGTTGCAAAGCATTTTCGAGGATGATTACATGCAATTGCAGTCGTTTATGCAAAAGTGTTTTAAGCTGCCTTACATGCGTGCGTCATCAAGTCAATCGATTCGTAATGTGATTGACACCGTGCAAAAGCATATTCACGGTGTAAAGCGTTTTGTCAAAACGGATGATGCCCATCCATATGTTGTTTTTGCAGTCATTGATCGAATGGACACAGAAACATACAGGGCATGGGAAAAATTCAGACCGTCGTTGACAGGTAGTCAGCCGAATGAGCCAAATGCAGGCGTCAGTGAAGCGAATGATGCGAATGTGCAAGCGAACCAATACAAAACGGGCAAGCGTATCCCGACATGGAAAGAATTGGAGCAATTTTTGGAAGCAGAAGTTGCAATTCGTGTTCATGCTGTAAAGCGAGCGTTGACAACGAAAGAAAATGCGTCCAGTTCAAAGCGAGCAAAGCGTTCCGAAAGAAATTTTGGTTCAAACAAAAATGAATTGCCTGATTTTTTGCAATGTGTATTATGCGATGATACACATCCGATTTACAAATGCGAAAATTTTATTTCAATGTCTTTGGCCGGTCGAAAAAATCACGCAGTGCAACATAATTTGTGTGAACGATGTTTGCGAAAAAATCATAATGGTCCATGCGTAAAAAAGACATGCAATCAAGAATGCCCGAGATGCAAATCAGCGGTTCGTTACCATAACAGTTTGCTCTGTCCGCATTTTGAAATAAAAGCAAGAACAGCATTGCTAACGCAAGACAAGTCCAGAGGTACCAAGCGTAAAAACCAATCTAAGCGAGATTTCAATGCGAAAAGAGTGCGAAATGATAATTACCGCACGGATGAAAGGCAACTAGGTTCAAGCGTGAACAAAGTGGGTGATTGGACACTTGTAGCTAAACAAAGCAATGCGATCAAGCAAATAAATACAAAAGGCACTGGTAAGTGTGAATACACAGTAGTTTTAGCTACTGTGAACATGCGTATGCGTACAAAGTTTAACAATCCTGTCATTTGCAGAGCAATAGCCGATATTGGTGCTATGCTTCCATGTGTCGACAAGCAGTACGTGGAAGATAATGGGTTGCGAACAACAAAATGCCAAAAAATTATCTTAGGTGTAAGCGGCCCTGAGATCATCAAAAGGAAAATCGAAGCGATTATTCAGCCGTGGTTCAAAAGTGATGTGGAACTACATAAAGATTTCTTTTTGCTAAACAGCTTAGCAGGCGTTTACCCACAAGCACTAATCGATGCGTCAAAAGACCAGATCGAACATTTATTGCTGGCAGATGAAGAGTTCGACCAACCAAAGCCGATTGATGCATTGCTTAGTGCAGATATTTATGCTGAAATCGTAGGCGATGATTTATATAGACATAAAAACGGTGCGATAATGCAGTCGTCATCGTTTGGGCATATTATTTTAGGCAAATTCAAAGTAAAAAATTCAAATGTATGCGATTTACCAGCATTGAACATTGTAATGAATAAAAATACAGAATGCGATAATATTGAAGAATTGATAAGCAAATTTTGGGAGATTGAAGCAATTAATTCCAATGAAAATAAAGCGTTGTTAAACAAAGAACAAAAAGCGGTTGAAGAATTGTTTGTGAATACGCATTTCAGAGACAAATCCGGCAGATATGTGGTAAGAATTCCAATCAAACCCGGATGCAAAGGGTTAGGTGAGTCGAGAGGTTTAGCATTAAAGCAATTTTATTCTCTTGAACGAAAATTGGGGAAAAATGCTGAACTGAAAAAGAAATATGTTGACTACATCGAAGAATTTTTACGGCTTGGATATATGCGTTTGGCAGGCGAGTGTCGTGATCGTAGATTCTTATACTACATTCCGCACCATGCAGTGGAGAAAAAGTTTCGTGTAGTAGTGAATGCGTCAGCAAAAACAAAGTCAGGAGAGTCACTCAATTCAATTCAAATGGCAGGCGCTAAATTGCAATTTGATGCTCAGCTGCAAATAATGCGTTTTCGTCGTTTTAAGGTTGGTGTCTCAACTGATGTTGCAAAAATGTTCAACAAAGTTGGATTGCATCAAGATCAATGGGATTTGCAACGGATTTTATGGCGTAAATCTCCAAATGAAGATCTCAAAGAGTATGTAATCACAGTGGTAATGTTTGGTTTGAAATCATCAGCGTACAATGCAGTGCGTGCGTTGAATCAATGCGCCATGGACCAAAAATCACGGTTTCCACAAGCATCGGAAGCGATTTTAAAATGCTTTTACATGGATGATGGCATGTTTAGCGTTGATTCTGTTGAAGAAGCGAAACTATTATGCAAAGAAGTAGAGTTTGTATTGTTGCAAGGCGGCTTCGACCTAAAAGGCTGGACATCGAACTCGAAAGCAGTTGAATCGTATATGAATGCAGACGGTATCAACATGAAAATCATGGGAGAAGATGATGAATCAAAGATTCTGGGTTTGTGTTGGCTTAAAGCGTCAGATGAATTGGCAGTGTTCGTAAGACCAATAGAATCTCACTGCAAAATGACAAAGCGTAGAGTTTTGAGTGAAATTGCCAGATTACACGATCCAAATGGATTTGTCGCACCCATTGTTGTTAAAGCAAAAATGTTAATGAAAGAAATATGGAAAATAGGCAGAGGCGATGGTAAACACAGTAAATTGAAATGGGATGATGTGGTGCCTGAAAATATCAAAAACGAGTGGCTTCAATATCGTTCAGATTTATCGTTGCTAAGCAATTTCAAGGTAAAGCGTTGGCTAAAGTTAAGCAGCAAAAGTCAGTTGCAAGTTCATGCGTTCTGCGATGCGTGTGATGATGCGTACGGTGGGTCGATTTATACCAGAGTAGTTGATGAAAATGGACAAATTCATACTTCGTTGTTGTCATCGAAGTCACGCATAGCTCCACTAGATAAATCAACTACACCACGGTTAGAATTGTTAGCAGCTGTCACAATAAGTGAGCATCTAGAAGCGGTTTTAGAAGCATGCGAATTCCAAAATGCAGATGTGACAGTATGGTCGGATTCGATGGTTGTATTGCATTGGATTGCTAAAAACCCTGACGAATTAAAAGCATTTGTTTCAAACAGAGTGAAACTTATTCAAAGCAAAACCAAGCGTTACAAATGGAAGCATGTGAGTTCAACTGATAATCCAGCTGACTTAGTTAGTCGTGGAATGAAAATGCAAGAGTTTTTGAAAAGCGATCTTTGGTTAGAAGGCCCCAGTTGGTTGAAACTGGATGAAAGCAAATGGCCGAAGCCGAAATTAGAGGTTTCACCCAAGCATCACGATGAAATTACAAAAGAATGTAAAGCAAAGGTCTATGCAGTTCAAACAGCAGATATGACTGCAGGCGTAGAAAGAGAAACTGTGTATAACAAATTTGAAGATTGGGATAAAATCATAAATGTCACGGCTTATGCGTTGAGAGTCATTCGAAGAATGAAAAAAGAGGTTGACAATTTAAGCGGCAGATATTTGTCAGCAGATGAGAGAAACAAAGCGATAGAGTTTTGGATAAAATTTGCACAAAATAAAGCGTACAAGAAAGAGATTGAATGCATAAAATCGAGTGATAAGCTAACATCAAAATGCAGTATTATTTCGTTGCGCCCCATACTTGATAAAAATGGCATTTTGAGAGTAGGGGGCAGAATAGACAAAGCAAACGTGGCGTACGATAAAAAGCATCAATTTATCGTTCCACCAAAATCTAGATTGTCTTACCTTATAATACATCATGCTCATGGCATAACAATGCATGGAGGTGCGCAATTGATGATGCAGTACATTCGAAAAGCATTTTGGATCCCAAAGTTGAGAGCTGAAATCAAGCGTTATGTCAGTTCATGCAAAGAATGCGTTGTTCAAGCTCAGGAAATGGCTCAACAAATAATGGCTGAGTTGCCAGAAGTGAGAATTAAACCGGCTCCGCCATTTCAAAATGTAGGCGTCGATATGGCTGGACCGTTTAGCATGCGAATAACAGACAAAGTGAATATGAATACGCGTGCACGCCAATTACCTGAGGTAAAAGGTTGGATTGCAATTTTTGTCTGTCTGGTAACTAGAGCAGTCCATTTAGAGCCAACTGAAGGCATCTCATCTGATGATTTTCTAAATGCGTATCAAAGATTTGTAAGCAGAAGAGGTAACCCAGAAAAAGTTTTCAGTGATCATGGAACAAATTTTGTAGGCGCTGATCATGAGCTACAGAGAGCATTTGAAACGTGGAAAGATGATAAAATCCAACGCACGGTGCAAATATGCGGCACTGAGTGGAATTTTATTACACCGCGCGCTCCCCATGAAGGCGGAATATGGGAAGCGGCGGTGAAATCAATGAAACACCATCTCAAGCGAGTGATGGGGCCACGAAAGTATTCAATTCAAGGCATTTCTACTCTGTTAGCAAGCGTTGAAGCGTGTCTAAATTCAAGACCATTATGTTCTCTTTCCGATGATCCTGATGACGTAGAAGCGTTAACGCCAGCACATTTCCTAATAGGGCGATCATTGAAGTTGCCAATGCATGAAAAAGCAGACGAGCCACCATACAGTTCCAAGCGATTATTTGTGCAGCTGCAATGCCAAATTCAAGCGTTTTGGAGGAGTTGGTCGAACGATTATTTGCATTCATTAACGCAAACGCCGAAATGGCGAGAAGAAATGCAAAATTTAAAAATCGGTCAGCTAGTTTTATTAAAAAACGATAATATTCCTCCTACATATTGGCAAATGGGAAGAATAATCCAAACACATCAAGGCAAGGATGGCTATGTCAGATCGGTCACCGTAAAAACGCAGTTAGGCATGCGTGAAAGATCGGTTAGAAATTTATGCGTTCTTCCAAGCGATGTTGAATTAAGCTATTGGAAATGAAAAATTAAGCGTTCAGAAATTTTCTTAATACAAGTCAATTTAACGCGTTAAAATTATGCCTGCAAGCAAAAATTAGTTAAAAAATCCTCTTTTTAACGGGGGGAGTGTATAAAGTATGGCATGCGGCCACACCGATGATTGAGCACACAGT